CTACTACTACTACTACTACTTTAAGCCAGTACCAGTTCATTTCTACGCGTCCGCGACTGCTGCCTGCTTGCTGCCGCCTGCGGGCTGCTGGCTTCCCGGCCAGCCCCTCTTAGATTAACCACGCCATGGTGTTCACGGTCCACTAATTCTTAAAAAGGAGGTGAAATGGGGGGGCCACCCCACTAATCATAAGCACGGATCACAGCTTTTTGTTCCGCACGTAATGCTGCTTGGTGTCCGTGTTCATGTATTTCCTTCTGCACATGGTGGCTTGGTGCACCGGCAGGTGTTGGCAGGAAGCGCGTCGACGAAAACTCGTGAACAGCGCCCGGCGGTTGTTCTTTTTGTGCCCATGCACATCACTGTACACGAGACCTTGATTGACTGACTGACTCACTCCCAGGCAGGGCCACTGCCGATCTCTGACCAGTCGCCTGCCATTTCGCAGCGCCTTGCTTGTCAGGTTGCAGTTCGGCTCGCAATGCCCGGAGTGCTGGGTTCATGGTTTGGATGTGCGACTAAGCAAAGCACGGCTGGAAGTGCGAACTTCCTTGGATTGCTGGCTCTGGGTCTTCATCATGCCCGTAGCAACAAGCCTCTGCCGAATCGAAAGTTCACCGCCTTCGATTTCAGTAAATGCGGTGGAGACGGTTGAGGGGAGAGGCACAGAAGCCAACTCCCACACATTCCCATACCACAGGCGCCGGCCACCAGAGAAAGAGGTGAGACGGACGGTGGTAGTCAACATCGCGTCCCGGCGAACACAGTCATCGACTGACAACACAGTCAGCGCCTGCAGACGAGTAAGCATGCTGGTGAGGGAGGCTGGCTGCCCCGAACTGATCAGAAAGCTGCCGGGCCAAAGAACGTGCGACGAGGCGATGCAGAAAAGTCTCCGTTCAACGCACTGTAGGTGCCATCTGGAAACCAAGCGCCCGAGTGCGATTCCAGCGATAGCGGGTTCCGGCGTGACCTCGAAGAAAAGCTGTGATGCATCGTCGTCATCAAAGACACGGTGCAAAAGCTCCGCCATCGACGCGCAAGGTGCAGTTTGGACCGGTTCCAACAAGGCTGGTGGCAGTGGTGGTCCGCATGTTAGGCTAGACGTGGCCAATGTTCGACGGGCAGCGGACACACGCTCGAGGCGTCGGGTTGTGGTGTCAACCGAGGCCGATGTCGGAGAGTGCGGTGCGCAGGGTGGTGGCCACTCTCTCCGAGCGGAAGCGCAACCTGGCTCGGCACGCGGGCAACAGTGGGAGTGGGGTAGGCAGCGCCTCAAATCCAAGGAGATGGCTGGCATGGCTGGCCGAGAAAGAGCGAGAACGGGCTACATGCGCACCATGACGCTAAAACCGTGGAAAAGTGTGTCCTCCGCACGCCGCCCGGGATGTCTGCATCTTCTCCGTTCCGGTCGCATGCTCTCAGAGAAAGCAGAGCAATCACGACAACACAAGCAAGCCAGTGGATCCACAAGACTCGAAGAAACGATTTCACGCTGCGTGAAAATTGAAAACCACTGTCTTGTTTGGTTTGAGAATGTTTAGTCGATATTGCTGCCGAAGCGGGTGCTTGCTCGTGCCAGAAAACCGAGGGTGTTTAGACTTGCCCTGACTGGCCCCTGTGTTGCATTGTGAATCGAATTTGCAACAGACACCTGGCACGGATGTGCAGTCTTTGTTGTTTCCACGAATTTGTTGATTTTTTGACAATTGGCAAGCTGCTGTACATGACCACCCGCCCTGTGCAACATGGGCAAGTCGTTGCACGCTGATGACAGTTTCTTCCAGTGTGCGCGATCGGAAACAACCGCTCATGGGCATCGACACGACAGTTCGTTCGATGCTGACAGTTTTCTTCAATGCCTCTCTGACGCATGCGTCCTGTCAAACCGAACTGGCTGGCCGACATGCAGGCTTGGATTCTCGACACGCACACACACACACACAGAGAGACACACACGGGCTGCCTGACATGCAAACTTTTGAATCTGGGGCAGCGTTAGGTGGGCATGCAAAAACACGGGCCAACAAACAGGTTTGACCCTTGCCAGGGATGTGCTCTGGGCATGTTTCTTGAGCGGACCATGTATTGCTAAAGAACCAGCAAAAGCACCAAAATCAAAAGTCAGAAGCATCAAGCGCACCCAGGCTACAAGCCATGCATTAATTTGTGAGCTCTCCAGGTTCCGGTGCGGCCCTTTTTGTTGCACTCGCCGGCCTGCTCCTCCGAGTCAGTACCCCATAGACCTGAAGCACAATGTGGCCGAACAATGGCTCCACAAGGCCTCCAAGAAGCACGAAGCAAGGGCAGCGCTCGCTCGCAGGAACACTTTGAGACTGCTGGTGCCTGACAATGCTTGTCATGCGGCACTGCATGTTTGACATTACTCCATTCCATTCAACTTAATCATGCCCAACAGAACCACGAGAACTCAGGAGCAGACGCTTGAAGGCCCGGTCCGTTCAGCACCTGCGCATCAGCTTTCAAATGCTTCCTCGCATGCTTTCGTCTTCATGCGATGGCCCCGATGGAATTCCCAGCTTGCCTCCCGGTCTCAAAAGGAAAACTTACAGTTCGGGAGCAGATTTCCACTCCCAGTCGAAGCGCAGCTGTGCTTTCTGTGTTCATCTCTTCCGCTAGGGCACACCAAAAGCTCTCACTCTTTCAGATTCCGCTGCGCAGTCAAGTCAACACACGGGTTCAGGATCTTTCAACTTCTGCAACCTTTGGCTGCGCCTGCTCGGCAGTAGGACACACCAAAGCCTGTCAAAGAGCCAGCCATGAGTAGCCACGAGCCGACACGACACCAAACCTCGCACAGGAGCTGTCTGCCACGGCTGCGGAGAATGAACCTTGCGAGAAGTCACTCATTCCGTTGGTAACGAAATGTTGCAACAAGTGCCTGTGTTTTCCAGGATTTTGCATTTGCTTTAGCTGCCCAGTGGCTGGTTGCTCATGACACCGTGCTGGTTGAAGCGGACCTTCCATGGAGTAAAATGTGAGCCGAGGCGGGAGACTTCTCAACGCAAGTAGCCTTCACTGCTCTGGATTCCTTCGCGGCTTTCAGGCAGCCAGCGAGGACGCTGCTCAGTAGATAACTGCACGTCCAGGAGGAGGGTTCCACAAGGTGTCCGAAACATCCTAGAACGTGCTTTCCACTTGCAGCTAGTCGTGGGCAGAACTCGGGGCGATGTAAAGGTATCCTTTTTCATTATTTTTCAGCGATCAGCAGCCTGGCAGAGCACCCGGCTTGGTTTTTCATGCTCCCTCCCCCACTGTTGTGGTCCTGGCATTTAAGACGTCTGAACAATGAACTTGGAAGGACTCTTAGCAACAGAGGGGAAGAGAGCCAATTCTTGGCCACAGTCTTCGAGCCATTGGGCACGTATGCCGACAACCCGATTGCAGAGATTCAATCTGCAACGTCATCAGGGTGCTCAGGAATCTGTTGGCCTGCGATCTATCTGCACAGCACTCATGCGCGTGAGCGCAAATTCGATGGAGTGACAAAAACTAGCAGCCTACAGGACAGTGCAAAGTCCTGCGAATCGGGACAGGACAGCGAAGGTCCGCGTGGCATGACCATCATTGATGCTGGGCACCTACTGCAAGTGATGCCACACCGACCCACGCACGCAGCCGGGCATTCTTGGAATCCATCTGCGGCGAGGTGCAGTGCGGTCAAATCGGAGATTGTCTTGCCACTTTCCAGTCTTGAGACTTGAGTCTTGCCACTACAAATGCTCCACAGTTCCGCAGCTAGCACAGCCCTAACGAACACAGTGGTGCACTCACCCATTTCCTCATAGCTCCGCCTCCCAGGACAGCATGACTCGAGCATGTTGTACATATCCATGCATTTCTTTTTTTAGGTAACTCTTCTTCATGATTTATTAACTAGCTCGCTGTTTGTTGTGATTTTTACCATCGTCATTGATTACTGTCAATATTATGATTATTAGAATTAGCATTATGATTTAGTGTTAGTGTTACTACTGTTACTGCTGCTGTTACTATTACTGTTACTGTTACCACTACCACTACAACTTCCATTACCCTTACTATTGTATTCACGATTACCATTACAACTACTACGACTATTACCATTATACACGGTTACTATTACTATTTCTATTTCTATTACTGTTACTGCTACTATTCATATTCCTTTTACTATTTGATTACTATTTTATTACTATTACTATTACTAATACTATCACTATCACTATCACTATCACTATTACTATTACTATTACTACAACAAAACAATTACTAATACTATCACAATGATGATGACTATGATGATGATGCTGATGATGATGACGATGATGATGAGGCGGAGGAGGATGAGGATGAGGATGAGGGCTAGGAAAATGATTAGGACTCTGATTCGAATTCTGATTGGGATTCTGACTGTAAGACATTGTACGACTACGATTGCCATTACGACTATGATTGAGGACCGTCGTAATATGGATATGAAGAACAAAAACAGTAACAGTCATAGTTTTTATGACAATAAGAATCCTAACACTAGTCACCGAAACCTCTGCAGAAGGCGGCTGGGCCTTCTTTGCAGGCGCCTCGCGCTGGGCCCAAGCTGGCAGCTTCTGGCCCGGAACCATCGTGAAGCGTGCATCGCCTCCTGCGCAACATCCGGTGTCGCTCCGCTTTTGTCACAATTCAAACTCTGGAAGCATACAACAGGGCTCGAGAGCGCTCCTAGCACTTTATCCAAGAGCTTGATGATGCCCTGCTCGTCGCCCTTCACCTCGGCATCAATCACACGGAGCAATGCCAAACCGGAGGATGCAGCGCTTCCCTGTCAGTAGCCCTGCCTCACCATCTTCGCCATGATCCAGCAGTGTGAAGCGAAGCCTTTGGGTCCGTGCTCACAGCCCCGGTCCCTGGAAAGTCGCGCTCCCAGCCTCTTGTGAGGATTGAAGACCGCAGCAGATGGCAGCTGCGAAGCTTTGAACAAGTCCTGCAGATTGTCCAAGAGTCCAAGTATTCAAGGCCTGTGCTCGCTAAGAGTAGGATGCGCGTGATCGTGCGGAGGTAGGTCGATCGATGCAGAGTCCTTGTAAGCCTTCTCTACATTCAAATTCATCCACATCCTCAGTCCGAAGTCACAGAAGCCATACTGCGCCTGGCACTTAGAGACTCACTGTCAAACCAGTCGATCCCAGGCAAGCATCCACTTCATCTTGGCACCACGGTCGCTCAGCTGCGAAGTGTACTTCTTGGACAGACCTCCCAACGAAGAACCGGACAGTGGGCAAGGGTGCTGGTAACGCACTTCAAAAAACAAACTCCATACATGAGAAGCGGCCTGTGAGCATGTCGATCTCAGCCTGGGAAGCTTCACCATCCTCGCAGGAGATGGGCGCTCAGGGCTTGCTTCTGCGCTCACCCCCAGATTCAGGCCCGGAGAGGACCTTCAGGAAGATGACACAGAGACCCTCGCCTTTGAAGCAAACGTCCTCACGAAGGGCTCGCGGCTCGCTTTTCCCACTGCAAGGCAGCGGAGACCCGAGCACAGGGCCTGGTGGGATTTCACGGTGAGCTCTGGCACTTCCTGCACCAACCAAGGCTTGGCCTCCTGAGCGGTGCACACACGCCGCCCTACGCACCTGTACCCTATCAGCCCTATCATACGCTATCCATGGCTCTCCGTGTCGCCCCTGGTATGATGGTGCTTTCTCTCGCGTGGGCTTCTTGTTCTTCTGTTTTGCTGTTTTCTTGGTCGAAACTGGTCTCTGCTCCGTCCACTTTCTCCCTCGGCTCCTCGGCGGTCTCTTCCTTCGCACCTCCTGGGCTCGACACCTTGTCTCCTTGCAGCGCCAGCTGACATTTCTTGGGTCTGTTTCGAGCTTGGGGTTCAAGGCTCCGGGCTTAAAGCTTATGAGCACTGCGGATCTGCGGACCATGAGCAAGCATGTCCCGCATCTGAGTGCTCAGCCCATTCCGGACTCAGAATGCAAGTTGACCCAGTCTTTCAAGGCCAAGAAGTTGAATTCTCCGGAATATGTATCCTGTCGACAACGGCGCTCCCACTTCGACCTCTTGTTTGACAACCTGCAAATGCCAACGCCTTCTTCTCTCCCTTTGCCCCCTGTTGTATGAGCACCTTCCAAAAGCCATGGAATGTGCTTGCATTGCTTGGCTCACCGAAGACCACCGAGGCTCCAGCAGTGGGAAACTTCTTCACCTGTTCCGACTGCACATGTTGTCAGGCTTGAAAATCTCGGTCTGCAGGAATGCCCTTTCCCATTGGACGAGGAAATCCAATCAGAACAGCAAGCCTGTTGGCAAGTGTTTGTCCCTGGTGGCCTTGAATCGCTGGACAATGTCCGACTGATCCTCCGTCACGAAGCCAAACTTCACTGTTCGCTTGAATACCTACAGCTCGAGCATGTGCAGTCAGGAAGCACTTCCAGCTAAAAGCCTCAAATATGATGGAGGCGGTGCCGTGGTTTTTCAATAACCGCCTGAACCAGAACTCGCCGTATGCAGCCAAGGGGCCGTCTCCGAGGAAAGCGCCTGGAATCGCTTCAAACACACTGACATGCAGCGATGCGTCCCACGAAGGCCAGTGCTCCGGCCTTCCACATCAGAGGGACGGATTTTTTATTGGAGAAGAGCAGCGCCTTCATGGCAGGGCGATACTACATCAGCTCATCACCTTACAGCTTTAGTGTCCAGGATAAAATTACCTCCAGTTCAAGCCCTGATCGGGAATGCCTTCGGCTTCGTCACATCCGTTGTCAGGAACTTGTCGACGTTATCCTGAACACAAGCATTCTGGTAAGGTACGCTACCAAAAAGGAAAATCAGCAATCAAATCGCCATCGGTTGCCTTGGTGAGTCTTTCGGTCTGGTCTGGCATGAATTTGGCGAGCTTGTTGAAGACTGCCTATCAGCTAGCCGGGCATCTGAGCATTGGGGCTATCTGTATGGGTCGATAGACCGACATATATATATATATAGAGAGAGNNAGAGAGAGAGAGAGAGGTAGATAGATAAATAGATAGGGAGATAGATGGACAGATAGGCAGTCAGACAGACAGACAGACAGTCAGACACGCACATAGATGGATAGATAGACAGAGAGGCAAATAGACTAGTACATGGACTGAAAGAGATACAAAAATATATACATATATATAGAGAGAGAGAGAGAGCGCAGATGGATATGTGCACTTAAGTATCATTAAACTGTTAGAAGCGGATATACTTTCATTCGAATAGGAGAGCTACTTACTTGTGAGAAGTTGGATGCCCTGTGTCTGTGCAAAGCCGGCCTTGCCCTCCAGCTTGCCCTCTAACTTGAAGGCAGGCACCGGGTTTGGGGGGTAGATCATGACGGCCGGAGTCTCCTCCAGAGTCAAGAGGGTGTCAGGACGTCTGGGGACCTTTAGGGACGTCTCGGTCTAGGGAAATTTGGGGCTTGGGGCTTAGGGAGAAAAGGTGCAGTATGCAGCTGTCAGCACAGAAAGCAGAAGTGCTCCTTAACGCCCTGCTTGTCGCAGAACACGGAGTACCTGATCAAGTTGGTTTGGAACACGGCTTGATGTAACTTCATCAGCTAAACAACATGCACGTCCCCTGTGCTGCGCACTCGTTGCAGTTGATGGCACAAACTTTGGCCATGCCCTTCATGTCAGAGGCTACCTGTGTCGAATTCCAACGGCACACAAACAAAACGGGCCGAGGTAACAGGAGCCACCAGTTCTGCAGGCCTTGTTGTACTCATCCAGAAACTTACCATCGTCTTTGCCATCGTCCTTGAAGAACCACAGACCTGAGGAAGAACGCAGTGGCGTGCGGACAATGATTCAAACGACTCATCTCTTGAGGGAAGCCACTGCTCACAGAACTGTCTCTGAATTTCGAGATGATGCCATCGAATGTGGATGCCTCGAGTCAAGCATCCAAAAACATGAATTTGGAACATGACGTTCTGGCGATCGACCTGGATCTGGATGATGTCATGCTCCATGGCCTGCACTGCAAAACTAGGTAGCCATGAAGAACCACAGTTCAAATGTTGTGCCTCGATCTTCACTTTGCCTATCACGAGGCTCGGCGCCACGGCCGCAAGGAGCCAGCGGCTCATGGTAGACCTGGCCACAGATGCAATGCGGCGAACGGCAAATGCAGAAGCCTCTGTACATGCTGAGAATGAGGCCAGCTCGGCATCCACGTCACGAAAAAATTGCACAACCCGGCGACTGACCCGAGCCAAAATCAACGCTGATAGCAAGAGTGTAGATGCTTGGCGCGAAAAGAGTTCATGACGAAACTCAGACAAAAAGGTCAAACCACTGGCCTGTGGGTGATTTCCCCGGCCTCAAAGACACATGAGGCGAACATTGACAGCAGGACACCAATACAACCATTGAGCCAAACACTGTCGCAGCTTGTTCTGCTAGTTCGATCTCTTCCAAACTGCTGTGCGCCAACTCCACCTGTGAGGACTTTCTCGTCTGCCCTGCCCCCCCCCCCCCCCCCCGGCACAAAAACAAAAGGAAATGAGACGGGACAGCCTCGGCATCGCTGCCAATGGTGTTGGCCTTCAGTATGACCGCAGGAGCTTCGGGTGAGTCTGCCTTGCTGCGATCGAAGAGCATTAAAGCATGCGCACGAGATGATGACAAAGCGTGCATGCACCTGTCAAATTGGGGCGTGCGCAGGCGTGCGAAATGTCACCTTAAGTACCTGATTCGAGCGCCAGGCCCCAGCACAGTCCTTTTGCCGACCACGACTCCGGACTAGCCCAGGCGCGGACGACATCCGACGCATCCAGCTCCTGAAACTCGCTGAGGGCTGCGAACCACACCTGGCTAGGCTGCCAGGCTGCGAAGCGCAAAGCTTCATCACAAAGCGCCATCCAGCGCCTCGGCCTGCTTGGCTCGGAAGCTGCTTGGCCTGAGCGAAGAACCCACCACCGCCGTGTGCCTCACCTTGACCCCGTCTGCACCTCTCGCCGGGAGCCAGGAAAGCCGGCGCAGCCTCTGGTACCTGCGCCACGGCTTCTTGCTCTCACCCGTGCCACAATTCTGTGAACCGTCCTCGTCAAGAACTAAGGTCTTCAAGCGACACTCGGTGAATGCCCCATCTTCCTGTTGCAAGTGCTCGCATCAAAATGCTCAGTGCATCAACTCCTCACATGCGCAAGCAAGGTTGCGACACGCTCGGGCGGCGAGCCTCCAGCGAAAATTGAAGCTCATGAGCACCTTCCGGATACCTGCACCAAGGAATTGCATGCTATCGCTGCATCTGCCATCAAAACCCACCGGCCAAATTTTCCTAGGAAATAAGAGGCGGGTTGCGTCTGGCTCCGGCAGTCTTTGCCAGTGCCGACATCATGCATTATCGAGGCTGGTTAGCAAAAGCCCTGAACTTTGTACATGAAGGCCTGGGACAGATTATCCTCTCAGGCTTTCAGAGGGCTCCTCTTCCATCTCAGCGCTGAGATGTGGCCGGGGCATGTCTACAGAGTTTCCCATCCGGTCAATCCACCAGGATGGCCTGACACAGGTCCGCTTGTCTGCGACAGAGGGGCACGGGCAGGGCAAAACCGATCGCACCTCAAAGCACCCCCCGGTAGTGCTTCGATTGTGGCACTTCCCCCGTCGCCACCCATGCAGCTCAACGCTTGCACATCCAGTTCCAGCACAGGCACCAACAAGGGATTGGGTCCTGGCATCCAGCGTTGCTAGCTTGTGCAAGTAGCTGCTGCTGTCACAAACTTCCCCACCTGCCACTACTCCTCATCGACCTAGTAGACTAAAACCTGACACAAGTCCTGCCGATCTCATGGAGTGGGACAATGCGATGCCAGATTTCAGGTCTTGCTTCAACGCCTCCTCGAACCTCCATCTTCTTAAGAACTGCCGGCGCTGCACGAAGTGTGTGGCAATCATCGGAAAAATCTTTGGCGCACCCGTGCCCGCCACCTCATGTGTCTGTACTCCCCGGTCTGACACATGAGAATAAGCTTGAGGGTCGTGTACCTGTACTCGGGCGATGGGAGTGCAAATGGCTGCAACTAAGTGGGCTGTGCCTAGAATACCTGTTCGGTCGTCACCTGTCAGGGAGGGTGCTAGTCTGCAAAAATTCATGAAAGGTTCCAGTATGTCTGCCTCGGCTGCCTTAAGCCAAGCTTCGTCCCACGGGCTCTGGCTCTTCTCGGGCTCTTCCTCGAGCTCGGGCTCCATGTCCTCGCAGCCGAAGGGCTTGGTAAAGCCCGCATCCACGGCAACACTCAAGGTTTTTTGGGCCGGCTCAAGCACGGCGAGGATAAAGACGTCCAAAAGCCCAGCAGGAGGCCAATGCTCCGGGATCTCGCTTTGTGATACAGACGTGAGCATCTGATCTTGTCTGAGCCAGACAATGTCCGAAACGACTCCAGAAGGCGTTGAGTGCGGCGCTGTTTTGCCGCTGGCAAGTGGGATGACGAACTGCTTGTCAAACAAGCTCTCTTCCCCTGTAGGGCGAACAGATGAGAACGTGGGATTTGCAAAAATGCCCACGCCAAGCTTGACAGCTGCTGAAAACTTCTCAATGATGTCTTTGGTATCCAGACTGTCGGCTTCCCGGTCCAGGAAACGAGGCCGTTCCACAAGAACCCGAAACCTCGACTGCTTTCCACCATCTCTGCGGATCTCGATGCATCACATACCACTACCATACCACTACTAGCACAAACATGCATTCAGACAATATAAAAGCCAGTGCCATCGTGCTTGTGCCTGACCGGCTACAATTCGATTACTTTGCAAGCAGCAAGAACTCGTGCCGCCCCATGGTGACGGCCCGTGTGGCTATCAAATGAACGAGCGCGCCTCAAGCGAGCAAGCAGTGGGTTGCGGATGATTGCGGGTTGCACATGTCGACACCTGGCTGTCTGATGGACTTCCAAGGCAAGGCACCTCTCGTCACGTCTTCATCCAAATCGTTCATGTTCGATGAAAACGCCGACTCTTCGCCCGCCGAGACTGTGGAGGTTGCCGAGACCATCCGCGAGAAGTCTCCCTGCCTCACGGCCACCGCCGACTTCAACACGAATGCATGCCGCATGAACAATCCGATGGACATCGGTAATGAATCAGATCAAACCCTGGCAGTCGCAGTCGTCCGAAACCGCAAAGTCTGCCAATTGCACTTCGCGACAGGTTCAGGATCTCGCAGGTGGCTGAGAGCCTGCAGTCGACGATTATTAGCTAAGAAGCTCCGAGCCGGTTCCTGACTACAAGATCGAAGGTTTCGAGAGCGGACATGGCGAAGTACCGAGCCGCATGTCCTTAGGCCCTTGGGCCGATTTCTGAGGGCGAAAAGCTCTTCGTGTCCCAGCCTGTTCTCCTTCTGGCCCTTGCTGACAGCTTCGGAATGTTGCAGAGCTTGTCCTTGCCACTGTTGGTGGTTGGGCACGAACACAGCCAAAATCGAACCCGTTTGCTTCATCCTCGAAAGTTTTAGGAAAAGGCATCGACCACTTGGCAGAAATGCCGAAAGCTGATGCCACAACCCCGATCACAACAACAAATTGCAGAGATGCTTTCATGCTGCAGAGGCACGGTAGTGCATAGTTGTAGCTCCCTTCTCCACAGCTACCGTTGCAAAACTTTGAAAGGCATGCCAGGACGTGGCAAAGGATGTGTGAAAGCAACGCCGCCGCGTCATCCACGGACAACTTGGAGTCACATATGCCAGTCGCTTCCCTGCCAGCCTGGACAAGATGCAGTCGATCAAAGATAGGTTCTGGGATTCACACGCCTTCCATCACTGCCGCTTACCGTCCGGGGATCAGGCTTTTTTGCTGCCTTAAGCTCTTCGGATATCTCTTGCTCTTCCTTGTGCTCAGACTTTTCTTCCAGTCGACGGTAGTGCGTGTACTCAAGGCCAAAACGGACATCCACGGCGTCGCATATGGCACTGGTACCTTCACGGGCACGGCAGGAATGCTGAAGCACAACTTCTTTCTCTCATTCTGCCCCGAGATTAGTCCAGGCACCCTGAAGGAAGCTGTCCATGGCATTGGCGGACTGTTGCAATTGCACTGACTGAGTGCGCCATTCCGTAGTCTCAGGAGCCACAGGCACGGTGCTCCCAGACGAGACTCGAGCCTTGTTGTTCGGCCGGGCCGTGTACGCTACAGCAGAAGGTTTGTAGGGGTATATCGGTGGTTCTAGATTTTTGGGGCTTGGATGGGCTTAGCATCAACACTCTGATCTGCCGAAGGTCTGAAAGGATGACTCGGATGGCATCACCTGTGCGCGGCAGATTCTGTGCAGCGTTCGCAACAGCTGAGTCTCCCCGTCTGTCTACCGGCACTGCTCGAGAACTGCTCCCCTGGACTTTAGACTCGACATCTTGCCCCCTCAATGTAAAGGCTGTCGAAGCTACGGTGATTATCCAGCGTGTCACAACGCGTGCTCAAGACCTTCCTTGAACCAGCTTTCAATTATTGCACGTTTTTATCATGGGGCAGCCAGCCAGCATCAAAGGCTCTAAGACTCTAGGACGTATGAACACCCAAAGATCTCAAAGTTTTGCTTCACCCATCCAAAGCACTCAATGCCCTTGAATCGGCACTCTGGTGACCTTGGTGACCCTGGTGACTCTGCGGGGGATCCTCGGAAACCGAGGACTTTCTCGGCGCGAGCTTCTGGGTGCTCCGTCGGTCAGGACGACGAGGACCTAGGACTGGGACTGGAGAGCACTGCGTGCGAAGTAGCAGCTCGATGTTCTACTCACATCCAACATTTTGTCCGGAATGCTCGGTGATGGCTTCTCCGGAGTCTGTTTTCGCTCTTTCGGTGCTTTTGCATCTTTTGGAGGGAACGCATCCGGAAGTGCATCCTCTCTTCGGCTCTGCCCTGTCTCGACATTGCTCGTGTCGCGAGAAGCCAGTGGTGGCAGAACCACTCCTCTGGCCGGGACTGGAAGCGGAAAAGCACCTCTAGTTCCACAAATAATCCCCCCAGAAACGACTGCAAACCACCGTAAGTCCTGCGGAAGCACGCCAGCGGTCTGCATCGCTGAGCAGAGACGCTGGGATGATGCGGTTAAACGCCAGCCTGTCCATCAGCCTTGGAACCAGAGCGGCAAGACTTGAAACTTCAAAGCCGATTGGTGGTCTTGTCAATGAACTCACAACGAATCCAAGCAGCTCGGTGTGGATGTGGCCCCAGCGAATACCCCATTTGGCAGATGCTGCATAAACATGCGGTTGTGGTTTCTCCGGCTGGGGGCCTTTCTTGGACCAGTCGACCCAAGTTTGCCCTTTCAACCATGCTTCCACGATCAGAAACAGCTCGGACTCCATGGAAACCACCCAGCCATCGCTGGACAGCAGAACTCCAAGTGCCTCCAAATTCAAAGACCGAACAGCTGCAAGCCCAGCGTTCCCGGAGACCTTCCCCCCATTTCTGGCCAACACCTGCGCAGAAAATTGTTTTTCACACTCACAAATCGTTGCACATGCAGAGCACCGGACAGCGGGCCTCGCAGCACCACTTCATCTCAGCTTGGCAGTTGTGAGCATGTGTTAGCTGGAGCAATCCCCAAAGCATGTCCACAGGCGCGTTTCTGCATAGGTCCATGAGAAGGCTCCTCTGATCGCTGTCAATGCACCCATCCACCGGTACAAAATACGGATAGACACGGATTGCCGGAGTCCTCAATGATGCCTCGACGCTCTTCACCCGAAGCTCTTTGGCAAGGCTCATGAGCGGCCACCATCCTCTACCACACAGCTTCTTGAGATCAGCCAAGGTCACCTCCGGTAAACACTGGTACATTGCACTCGGTTCGGGATCAGTTGCTTTTTTTGTCTACCTTGAGAGGCACGCCATACAGCATCGTCATGAGACCACCAAAGGCATTTGGCTGCTCCTGCACTCCTTGGCAAAAGCTTCAAGAGGCATCCGGACACAGCTTGCGACGGTCATGCAGACGAGCATCTGAGCTCAAACTCCAGCAGCGATGATCGTGTCTGCCGAAGCTGCTGCCTTCGGGGCCGCTTCCCATGCCTGCAATCCCAGTCATGTCCAAGCCCACACTCAACATCCTCATAGCTGCCCTCTCAAAATGCCTGGATGGACTGGATGGAGGAGATGGTGTGGCCCGGCCAGCCTCTGACTGCCGTGGTAAAGTGCAACGTGATGCCAAGGCAGATGCTCGCCAAGCTGCATTTCGCAGACTTTTGCTTGCTGCCCTGCAGCGGGACACGCAGCACAATTGGAAACCCCAGGACTGCAGGACCCCATGCTTTCCCGAGCTTCCCTGGCGCCTCAGTAGCGAGGCATGGACACCCTCAGCCTGCTCTGCACAGCGCAGCCGGTAGCAGAGTAGCTGCGATGCCCCCGCCAGAATGTACTTGTGACACCTCAAAGTTGGTGCTGTTCTCAATCTTTCTTTGCGGATGTGCCTTGACAACCCCTTGCAGCAACATTCGTTCCCTGACATCCACCCCTCCAGGCTGACCACTTACATAGATACTGCTATGGTCACGAGACGTTATGGAAAGTGAGCCCAGCAAGCAGTTGTGGGAAGCATGCCTGCGCAGTGCAAAATCTCATGATTCAAAGTCTCGCCCTCGCTCTCGTCTCAAGGCTACTCATTCGCCCAGTTTTGCTAGTTCCCCCTCTCTGCGTGATGGCGCTTCTGAGACGGAAGTCCTCGCCGTCATGAGGCCCTCCTTGTCCCAAGCTTGCAACTACATAGAATGTAGACTGCGAAGACAATGTTCTGCAAGAATTACCACAGCTGTTTCAGGTCCTGTCGGCTTTTCGACAGAGGCACCCACTCAAAAAATCCCAAAAGCCTCTCTGTCGAACAAGAAGATCGGCTCTCACCGCGGACACTCCGTTTTTAACTACTTTGCCTGCCTGCAGGCGGTGAAGACCCTACCGAGAGTCACCCCTGGAAGACAGCTCGAAGTTCGCAAACACAAAGAGCACGACTATGCACCGAAAAAGGCTTGGTGCAATCAACCCGTTTAAATCAGTGAGAGCCTCTGGCCCCAGATGAAAAAAGGATACTCGAACCTTGGATCGCTGGAATTCCTCCCCTACGCCGCAAACTATCTGGCTGCAGGTAAGGGCACAGGAAAGCCTTTACTTTCTCCGCTTCCATCTCCACTCCCAGAGTATCCGCATGAATTCCACGCCTCACCTGGCCCCTGAGCTGAGCTGCAAAGTGCCAAAACTACAAACAAAGCCAAGGCCAATGCTAATAGTGATGCTAGGGTTAAAATCGTAATGATGACCGCGATAATGATGTGGGTAACTATCAACATGCTGTAGCAGAATCAAGAAAGTGCCTGCTCTTTCTGTGCAGCCCTGCAACATGCTGAAGGCCGAGTCCACCGACTGGGCGCGTGCCCGTCCTCTGAAAGAGCCGTACTCTGCCTCCGGCAAATCTTTGTCGGCAACCTCCGTGTTGCGTTTCTCTTCCATGACCCATATTCGAACATCAGCCGATCCCAGCCAGGATCTCTCCGCAAGGTCCTGAGCTCTTGCGAGGAACTGTCGAGTGGTTCACGTGTCTTACGTCCATCTCACAAGCAAGACACATGACAAAGCAAAGCGCATGCAAACGATGGCAAGCTACTTCGCTGGCTTTATGGCGAGACCGGTTCTTTTGGATCTGCCTGGTGGCCACATCTTTTTGCAAGCTTGCTTCTCACTCAAAATGCGATGCTCAGCTGCTTAACAGCCTCGGAGGCGGTTGTGGTGGCTGCTGTGACTGCGGCCGGGCAATCCGGGGCGTGTGCCTGCAGCTACAGGTTATATACGCGGCTCGAAACCTAGAATGGAGAGTGCCGTGCAAACTTTGAGCCAAGTCACAAGTCATCTTGCCAAGGTTGCCACGCCCTTGGGAGGCTTTTCGGAATGTAAATGGCAGGACACGGCGGAAGAGACCATGAAAGAATCGTCTTCTATGTCGAGTGTCGGACTGCATACCTTCTTTGCCTACATGTCGCTTTCCCTTTCTTGGGCTAGCAGCTACCAAGACTGCGGGTGACAGAAGAATTCGGACGAACAAGAACTGAGCCACATCGTCGTGAAGCTAACTGATACCCTGCAGCACTTCGTCCACCGGGTTCCCAACCAAAAGCATGCGGACAGACAGCGGAGCTCGCGCACTGTTGACAGCTTCTTCTTCTTACAGGCATTAAGTGTCGGGTGGGATCGAAAAGAAACTTTTTCGGAATCAAGAAGTCATGTAACCGGCCCGGGGTAAAAAAAAAATACAACACAAGAAAATATATCAACAAAAAACTGTGCATCTCTGCTGCATAATTTGTCCTGTAATAATAAAAATAAAAACATAGTGGTAAATTTTTAGTAGTAATAATAACGAATACTAATAGTAATAATGATAATCGTAAATAGCAATTGACATTAATAACAACAAGAACCAATGATAAGAAGAATAAGAAGCAAATGAACAAAAAACAAAGAAAATTCTAAAGAATGATAGTGATAATATAAAATTCACGATAATGATGATCATAATAATAGTGATAGTACTAGTAATAGCAACAACACTGCGATAGTAACAATGGTGAAAATAATGTGAAAAACTAATAGCACTAATAATGGTAACAAGAATTCTCAATTGAATGCTGCGCAAGCCTGCTCTGCTCGTGGCGGGCGATTACCGCTTTGGCACTCACTATTGGGTCAAAACGGCAATTGCACCCAGAAAACCTGCAAGACCAACACAACCGAAACCAGCACAGATCTACGCGCGTGCTGAGGAGCAGCTTTTCACTCCTTCTGGATCGCCAGTGAAGCCGGCATCTGCCTTGAGGGCAGGTGCTGCACACCATGGGTGCCTGCGCGGGAAGGCCTGTCCGCACAATAAGTGGGCAAGGCCACCCCGGTGCCAAGGCCAAGAGTGCTTTAAGCACTCGCAGGCCCCCCACCGGATTTAGGCCCAGTTCAGAATTCAGAATGGCTCCGGTCTACGGCCTGGTTGCCCTGGTTTGCCGGCTTTTCAACAGAGGCTAAACAGCCTTAAATGTCTGGTACAAACACACAGCCAAAGGCTGTGGCAGGTGGCACGAGGGGACTGCCCATGCGAATATCGCAGGTACCTCCTGCATCCGTTTTTGGAGCGAGGCTGGTGGCACTTTTTGCTCTGAGGAGTCGCGCTAGCCACCAAAATTGACGAAGCAAAAAATTAAAACAAAACACAGACAGAATACTTGAAAAGAAAAAACAAGGGAACGAATCCTGATTTTCAAGGCCATTCAACCCTTATATGGAAAAGAGCTGCCTATGGCAGAACAGTTGCTTCACTAGCACAATTTACTTTGCTGTCTTCGGCCTTTCGGCCAAACATGGAAAATGGTCTGCTCACGTCACATGGGCTGTCACTCCTAGCCCTGCCTGACAACAGGACGGTAACGAACACAACTGGGGGGGCCGACGTCCGCCACCCATGGCACAGCACGCGCGTCCGCGTTGCAACTGTACCCAGACGTGAAGCGGAGCCGTACGAGAGTGCTGGGCCATTCTTCCTTTTCGCGACAGTTTCGTCTCCTTCCGACTCAGCTGTGTTGGGGCCTCGCGTCCTTGCCGCATCGGCTGTGCCGTGCAGATCGGCTTAGGACACCTTGCTCCAGGCCGAGGCTCAGGCGAAGCTAAAGCGACGCAGTACCATCTTGAAACATAGAATCATAGAATACAGCGGTGGCCTTCCGCACAACAACGCTACAAATGTCTGGGGCATCTGTTTGAATCCTTGCAGCAAGCCGCGCCCGTTGTCGTTGGACCAAGTGTCCACCATTCCAGGACAAGCTGCGCAGCTCCTGGCGCGAGACTTCTGCGTGTGACCGGAGTCGGGAAGCAGCAGGAGCAGAAGCAGTCGGCAGACGAGTGTCTTGTTTCCTGTTTCTGATATAAGAAAAAATTGTGTGAGTGCACTGTAAGCTTCAGCGCCATCCGTTCCTTTCACCACAACAGCAAGCTGAAGTGACTCTCTCCACCGCGCNNAAGGTGGAAACCCTACCGCTTGCCCAGCAAACAATGCCGTAACAGTAACTGGGCCCAGGAATTGGGACCTGGCAGATGCAGACCCGCTCAGCAAAAGTGGCACATGGCTCAAAAGTAGGGCCAACTCACCGTACAGTTAAGAAGAGAGGCCTGGTAGGGACCTCTAGAAAGTTGAAGCCAAAGGCCAGTTCGAAAGCCACGCGAGCTACCCTGCCAGTCTCATCTGAAGCGGCTATGGAAACAACAACAACAATACCACAACTCATGATACTAATACTGCTCATAATGATAATAAGGATACTAATCATAACAAGGATAACAAGTTACAATGATACTGTTAACAATAGGAACATTACCAATCGTATTAGTGATGCCAAAAGCAAGAATCATGCTGATTGTCAACATAACACCAATATACAGCAACAAGAATAATAGCAATAATTAGTATTGGCATTGTAATTATGATAAAAATTGTACTAATAATGGGTCGCAGGAGTGGTAGTAGTGATACTAAAAACAGCCGTAGTTGTAGAACAAAAAAAACTTCAAACCATGATAAAAAAAACACTAGTCACTAATCATAGAATGGTCTGCATGTGTATGTACGATAATCTTATAATAAGTCGTAGTAACAACACGAACTACAGCAGTAATCATCACAAGCATGGCAATAGCAATAATAAGAGTAATCACTGTGGTAATCGCAAGAACTGCTATGCTGCTATCATAGTAACAACAGGAAGGTCTGCAATGATAGCATAATAGCAATGATTCCCTTGCGCGTCTGCCTGTTGCCCGGTGTGTTGTCTCTCTCTCCCCTTCCTGTTTCTCATGTCAATCAAATCTATTGCGGTGTTTAAAAAACATATCTCCCTCACTACCATCGACGGCTGACAGGCTTTCGATGTCCTCCCAAGACAGGTCTTATGACCTGCTTGAAACAGAAGCCACCTTTCTATTGGACAAACAGAGAAGCTCGGGACCATGTAGTGTCATCAAATGTTGAGAAGCCTTGTCCTCTCTCAAGCAAACCTACTTTCAGATCTGTGGCGGCATTCATCTACCGAACGAAGCGAAGACGCAGGTTGGTGCAGAAAACATGCTGCACTTAAGTTAACTGCATTCGTCTGTGGCTCAGCTCAGCTCCGTCCGAAGAACGCAAACGCGACTATGATACGGAAGGCCAGAATGCAATGTCTTTGCTGACCAAGCATCCCAGTGGATACACGGATTGCCGCAAGCTCAGCCAGAGAGGACACATCGTCATGTAAAGGGACTGTGCTGCGGCTCAACATCAACCCACGCGAATGCCCTCATCGAGCCAAGGTGCTAGACATGCAACAAACTTGACATTAGCAACGTGGGACTACCTTGCATTGAAGGCTGACCGAATCGGCTAGATCTGGCGCGAGCACCGGCAAGAAGTGGACTCGCACGCTTTGCCCTCACCATGACAGACCTGTGTGGACCGGTCGGATCCGTGTCCAAACCGAACATGTAACAGCAAGCCAACATCTTCGCTTCGCGAAGCTCGCTGCTCTACTGCGTTCTGCGAGTCGTGTCCACATCTCCTCCTTGCGCTGTGCCCAGGGCCACTGACTTGCATTGACTCGCACCCGCAGGTCACAACTGGCGGGGTTCTGCACCACATCTTCATTTCTGCGCTGTTGTCCAGCGCGGGTGAAACCAGATCTGCATCTGTTCGAGCCGAGCTTTCTGCGCATTGTCCTTCTGGCTGAGAGGCCTCTTCAGCGGTCAGGATGTGCACGAAAGCATCCGCAAAAGGAGGAGATCCTCAAGTGACAGCACGGGTGGGAACGAAGATACTCAAAGAGCTCGCTCCAGACTTGCGCGCACTACTGGCAAAACCAAAACAGGTGCCGTGATCGAGCAGGCATCAATCCTCGCTTCTCGCTTTTCGTAGCAACATTAGGGAGACGGACGTCGCTGACTTCATGGAGCATGCCATCACCAAGGGCATTTCTGGACGTCACTCTGCTAGCCGTTCCTCCACGAAAGACAGCAAAACATACTTTAGCATTCCGGGCGCTTTAGGGGCTGCTTGGCATGACCTACTGATACCAAAACAAGTCTGCCACTTTCCCAACGGGAGTCGGAGACTTGTGCGTCCAGTTTCGGTCGCCACAACTCCTGTGGAACTGGAAAGGTGACCTCAGCGCGACGTAACACTGTAACGATCCCCCCCACACGGTGATTTCGAACAGACATTTCTTTCCGAGCTTCGTCTTGAACGCTTCCGACCTGCCGGGTTGCCCGGTTGCCCCATGCCCCGACACTTTCAAGCTCTCACGAACCAGCTATATAAGCTTGGGCCCCGCACCGTCTTGCTCTTTGGACTTGCTTTCGTCGCCGGATCCGGCTCGGACGCGACTGCTCCATTCAAACCTCAGGCGAGGCCCCACAAAAAGCACTCGAGGTCCCAACTGACAAGACAAGGAAGCGCCGGGAAGGAACTGCCCATCGTCCTCCAATCCCTGCTTCGACAAGTAGTCCTGGAGCTGGAGCTGCGACAGTGTCTACGACAGCTACCAAGTCAAGCTGGAGGCAGAACTATTGGAACTCGCACGACGATCGACGCACAGTCCGTAAAAAGCTTCTTCAGGTAGGTGTAGTCTGGCTCGTCTTCGAAGCCGAGCGACTTGCAGTAGGAAACCTTTGTGATTCGCAGCCCAAGTTCGCTCATTGATCAACTAGTAACACTGGTCGACTGCCACTGAGCGTGCCGATGTTTTCTGTCTGCAGTGTTGCTAGTGTTCGAGCCTGCCATTGGCCCTCGCAGAAAAGCTGCAACAGCAGAGGCAGCTGTGGCCATTTTCTCTCTTTCCAAAACATGTCCAGTCCCGACATGAGAAGCTGCACCGAATGCTTCTACCGCTGCCTGCTCCAGCCGTGTGATAAGTCGGTGCAGGCACATGTCATGAAGTGATTCGCGACAGTCTTCTGCACGGTTGTTTCCGAATCTGGGTTGCGCGATTTCGAACTCATGCCTTCTGTAGGCTGCATGAGTCCGAAGGCAGGTACGTTCCGACATGTTCCAAGACAAGGCACACATGAAAAGGGTAGCATCGAGCCTGAAAGAGTCTCCAGGGTCGGTCGACTTGCGATGTGTTCCAGATCCCAGCTACCACGTATCTGCACATCTGATTGTGCTTGTTCAGCTTCGAAGCTAGCTGCACAGAAAACCTAGAACTAGATGCCTTAAAGTGGCCAACGAAACATCAGTGCCTCGTGGACGATTTAGCACGGCATTGACAGAGGATCCCAGCATGATGCGGCTCAGCAGCATATGTTGCAAGAACTGGAGGGCAGTCTTCGCACAGCTGTTGAACATTAACTCCTTGCTTCTTCTCCAGAATCTTCCTCAGAGTCCACAGCTGCAATTTCATCCATGCGAAACCACGCTGCAGTGAGAGGCTCGTTGAACCGTGATCGCGGGCCGAGTGGCTGATATTTTTGCTCTTTGGTTTGCGCCTGCGCGACGAACAAAGCGTCGGAGGCGAAATGCTGCCGAGATTGCCGCAGCTTGCCTGCAGGCCCTGCCATGGCAGCATCCCACGGCTGAAATAGAGCAAGATGTAGCCCAAGGCCTGCGAAAGCGGCGGAAGGCGCGAAAGCCACGACCTTTCTTGCGAGCAAGCGCAAGCCGAGCAGTGCCTCCATGTCATCGCGGCGACTCTGCTCGGCTCCCTTGTGGGCATTGACCGAGGCCTCAGGTTCTCTAACCATCGACAAGCCTAACATAGCATAGCTTCATGAACTCTACCATGCTGCACTAAACTCTGCTATACCATCATGTCATATCATATCATATCACATCACATCATACCGTACAACATATTACAGCATACTGCAATATTTTACAATACTGCTCTATTCTATCGTATATGACAATATCTACAATCTAACACAATATACCACAAGGAGGTAGCACAGAATGTTATAATTTAATCATTCAATGTACAACCGTCTAATACAATACATCACAAGATGACACAACATGAAAAATATGAAACATCTTGTGATCGACCATGGTAAGATATACCATCCTATGATACAACTTAACACAGATCCAAACATTCACATATCTTCACCTTCCCACGGGCACTAAGCTTGGAGCATAGCGGGCCGTTCCCGTCAAGCTTTTTCGCTGGCCTTGATTGTGACAGCATGCCAAACTAGAGCAGCTGCAGGTGCTCCAGTTACATCAGAGACCGCACCGGCGTCCAATGGTGCTGCCGGTCTACTGAAGGGAATGTGCTGACGCTTGGAGTTGCGATATCGCTTCGCCAAGCCGAAGTCGATAATGTGAACCTGCATGGGGATGGCCCTCGCCGAAAGGCACCGGCACACAGTTTGAGACATTAGCTGAGGGACTGTATTGCAGTTCCTCCCAGCACCAACAAGGAAATTGTCTGGCTTCAGATCTCGGTGAACGAAGTCCTGCGAGGCTTCTGGAATGTGCACCAAAGCATGGGCCCACACGTGGTGGGGCAGAATTTCAAACAGCAGGCCGCACATCTGATAGAAAACTCAAACTCTCAGCATTATCTTCACACTGTAAAACGGCAAGAAAGCAGAATGCACTCCTTCGCATGGAGATACTGGATCCTTGAGATCATCTGGTTCGCCAGCATCATGACGGACTTCACGGAGAAAGTCCGCCGACAAGAATTAAACAGGTCCTCGCACTTCTATCATGAACAAGCGGCGGTATCTGCGCGAACCATTGCGAACACAACGACGACAGCACACTGGAGCTTAAGGTGCTCGGGGCAAGGCAGGCCACAACCAGAACATTTTGAGAAGCAGAAGACCACACCTCATAGACGCGGTGCTTACATGCCAGTGCCTCGAGAGATGGCCCAAGAAGGTCCATAACCATGACATTGTAGGAACCTGTCAGGCAAACATGGCTGGCAGCGATATTGAATTGTGGCTGCCTGCTGCGCCTTCCTTTCCGGAATAGTAAACATTTGCAATGCCATCGCCACCTTCCAAGTGCTTCAGAAGCCTCAGTCACACTGCAGCAACAGATGGCTAAGACCATCCGGCGGGACCATCTAAAACTTCGACGAGCAGCTTGGCTTCGTAAGGGAGCATCTGGTGCAAACCTCAATCTGAAAATTCATGTGAAAGACCCCCCTGCTGTGCTCACGTCTGTGCAAGCACGCCTGAAAGCTGATGACGGTACTGATGCTGCTGCTGAGGCTTGGCAATAGTCTTCCTCCAGACTTGTAATACTGCCCACGCTCAACGACGACGAGGGCGGCTCCTACTCGAACTCCTACTCCTTGTCTTACTGCTATTTCAAATGCTACTCCTACTACTGTCACTGCTACTGTTACTACTCCTTCTTTCCAGATCGCACATCCGATCCGATGCAAAGGCGACACTCACAGACCAGTTGCTATTGCTGCTACTGCTATGACTGCTACTGCTCATACTGCTGCTGCTGGAACTGCTGCCTCTACTTCTGCTACTGCTATTAATGCTACTGCTGTTAATTAAAGCTACTGCTGTTCCTGCCAGTGCCATTTCTGCTACTGCTACTGCTATTGCTGCTGCGGCTGCTGCTAATACTGCTACTGCTATTGCTGCAGCTGCTATTACTGCTACGGCTATCACTGCTACGGGCTCCGGCTACTGCTACTGCTGCTACTACTACTGTTGCTATGACTGCCACCACCTGCTGCTACTGCGATGAATGCTACTGCTATTGCTGCAACTATTGCTGCTACGGCAATCACTGTGACGGGTCATGCTACTACTCCTGCTACTGCTACTGCTACTGCTACTGCTACTGCTACTGCTACTGCTACTGCTACTACTACTACGACTACCACCACCACTACCACTACCACGACCACGACCACGACCACGACCACGACCACGACCACTACGACGACGACTACTACTACTACTACTACTGCCACTATGACTATTGTGCTGCTGCTGCTACTACAAAACAACGTCGTCAAAGCATTGGAACCAAAAACAACGAAGCAAGTCG